GCTCCAGATTGGTTCCGGTCGGGTCACTAGGCTAAGGTTTCAGCGGGGCAGACATGCCCTTGGCAGCCCGTCTCCTGCCCTAGCAGCGCTAGGCCCATCGCTACAGAGCCTGGGCGCCAGAGCCGCACATGCAGCGAGCAGCGGCACCTGGACCCTCGGACAGGAAGTGGCCGCTCCGGCTGTGGGCTCATCATGAAAGGAGGGGAGCCTGGGGAGAGAGCCGAGGAAGAGCAGCTGCAAGAGCCTGTCTGAAGGCAGCGCCGAGCAGATGTGGAGTGCGTGTCGGGGAAAACGGGAGGGGGCAGTCCGGGGCTGCCCCTGCGTCCAGAGAAGATGCTCGACACACGCAGCCGGACCAACTCAAGGGGCAAGGGAAGAGTGGAGGGTTTTAGGGCGCAGACCAGGGTGCACAGCTGAAGCCGAGCTCCCAGAAAAAGGAGTGAAGGTGGGTGCGAGGCACCCCAAACTGGGGCCACGGGGGCGTGTGAGGGTGGAGGGGCCGTGTTTAGAGCCCCACGGAGACCCGTTAACCCTCCTCGCTGGAGGCTAAGGCCCTGGAAATCTCTCCCCAAGCCCCCGAGACGTCCGGGAGGCCTGCTCCGCGGCTGCACGCCCGCGCCCGCTGGGCAGCAGCTCCCCGCGAGCTCCCGCGGCCCCGGCACGGCCGGACCCGTCCCGCCCGCCCGTTGCCGGCGCGTGGGGCGAGCCCGGGATCCCTACCGCGAGCGCCTTCCGGGCCGCCGCGCCAGCTGCTCGGGGCTCCCGCCGCCGCCAGCAGTCCTACCAGCTTCCAGCTCAGGGACGAGCCGCCGCCGCCTGCGCGAACCCCGGCTCCCCGAGCGCCGCTCTCGCCGCCCGCCGCCCGCCTTCCAGGCCGCGCCGGATCCTCCGCTCCCCCTGCCGGCGGGCAGCCATTTCCGACAAGCGACTGCGGAACTTGCCGAAGGGCGCTGGGCCGGAAATGGCCGAACCACGGCGCTCGGGAGCGGGGGGGTGCTGGCGGGACGCCAGGCGTCCGAGGCTTTCCGGACGGCTCCCGAGGGGCCGCCGACCGCGGGCTCCGCCGCCGGGCTCGCCAGGCTCCGGGAGCGGCGGCGCCGCCGGGGATTGTGGGAACGGCGGGCGGGGGCGACGGCGAGCGGGGCGGCGGGAGGAGCGGCCGCGGCGGCCGCCTGCTCCCTCCGCCCGCCTCCTCCGGGGCCGCTCCCCCTCAGCGGGACCTCTTGAGGGGACGTCGAGGACGCTCCCCGCGGGTCTGCGCCTCCGCCGCGAAATCCAAGGCTGAACAGAAGCCCGTCCGCGAAGGGAAGGCCTCCCTAGACGCGCCCACCGGGCTGCAGCCGGGCTCTGGCCTTCCGAAACCCTGTGACAACGAGGAGGCAGAGGCCGGCGGCAGGAATGCTTAGGGGAGACATCCCGGGGCTTTGTAAAAACAAAGGCTTAATCCAGTGGTGTGGCACGATCAACCAAAACTAGGAGGAACAAGGAAAACCGTTTGAAATACTTAAGAGCCAACCCCTGGGAACCTAAAAGTGCACTTATTCTACAGTCCCAAGAGACGTGACTACTTCCACACTTAAGAGTCAGGCCAGACTTTTTGGATAACTGAAACCATGGGGGTGGGCGAAGGAACTCTTCATCCTAAAAGGCACAGCTGATCATTATTGTTAGGAATGAGTTAAACACATTATTTAAAATCTAGAAGTGTAATTTAAGATGAAGTTTGCTTCAGCGTATTTTTTTTACACGTTTTTAATCCCCAAAGGGCAGGGGTCCTAATCAGGGAACCGAAAACACACCAGGACCTGGAGCAGCGAGGGAGGGCCAGGGGCTGGCTCGTATCCCTGCGCTTGGGTGGTCTCCTCCTTCAGACGAACTGCACCCCCGAGCCGGCTCCACGGCTGCCCTCCCGCATCCACACGCCCTTCCTGGTGGACCCAGGCCCACGCTCTGGCTAGGAGGCCGCCACAGCACTGAAGATCGATTAGTTTCCCTCAGGGGACAGTTTGGGCTAAGGATTCCGTGGTTGCAAAACAAAACTTTAAAAAACCTAGCAACCTGGTTTTTCAGAGCACACTCATCACTTCAAACCCATCAGCCCCTCCTCTTTGTGACCTTGCTTTTTCTTTTCTCTTTCCTGACATCTCCCCACTCTCCTCTCTCCTACTTTCCCCTCACACCTCACTCTTAGCTCTCCTTTCCCTTTATTACTATGAACAGACCTAAACGTTCAAAATCTTATCACCATCATATATGTGCAAAAACAACCGCTTTCTAACTTTTACCAATTTCGTTGAGCAAAGTAAGAGGGAAGCAAATTTTTAAAAATCAAAAACATTCCAAGAAATGAAAATGGGGGAAACTGTTGCCCAAATATCATGAATAGCCTACAGTTATCCTCTTTTTTTTTTTAAGTTCATCTTCTTGGCTCTCCTCCAGAGGTCTGTGGCAGCAGGCAGAAATCTGGCAGTGTGGGAGGAGACAACAGACGCCCAGAAGCAGCAGTAAGAATTACCAGGGGTTGGTTCACCTCCACACTGACAAGAGAGGACCTGCTACCTGGAGGACTCAGCTTAAGTGTCTTCTTATACATCGGAGCGACTTAACACATTGCTGCCCCTAACGTCGATTTATTTGATTGTAACGATAGTCAAGCTTTAGGAAGAAAAAGGATTGCCAACCAAAATTTGGCATACCCCTGACTTCACTGCTCACCACCCTCCTCCTTTGAATCTTGTAAGCCTGTCTGCTTCTCCGTCTTCCTGTCAACTGGTCTAGCTCAGTCTCCTCTTCTGGCTCCTGTTCCTTCTCTTCACTCCTAAGAGGTGTTCACTGCAAAGATATGACTTGGGCTACTTTCTTTTTCCTCTCCAGACTCTCTTCCTTGCCATTTCAATCAGCTTGTTTGCATCCTCTCCACCTCTAAGCAGATCCCTGACTGCGGCACTCCAGTCCCTGTTTTCCAACTGCACTCCAGACATTATCACATCGTCATCATCCTATTAATACATACTTTATGAATACTTAATTGCCAGGCAATAAGCTAAACCCTTTATAGGCATTGTCTCATTTTACTTCTTACAGGGAGGTATCAGCTTATAGAAAGAGAAGTAAGACACGAAGAGGATAAATAAAGAGGGTGCCCAAGATCACAGAGTGAGGTGCAAGTACAGAGGGAACTCCAAGTCTTCAAACTTCAAAGCCAATCTGGTTGTCTCACCAGGACCTTAAACTTAATATATCCCACACTGAACTCATCTTTATCCCTTCCTCCTTTGCTCTCCTCAAATGTCCTTATTTAGAATAGTGTTACCTTTATCTTTCCTAACACAGAAACTCAAAACTTAGCACCCTCCTTGACTTCTCTCTTTAGCCCACATTAAATCCTTTCCAAGACTTAAAGCCTTTACCTGTAGGATCTCCACCATCCCTCCTCTGCAGTCCCACACCTACTTCCCGGGTTCGGGGCCTCATTACTCCTCTCCTGGACTATCACCTTAATACAGGAGTCCCCCCTTACCAGTGGGGATTCGTTCCAAGATCCCCAGTGGATGCCTGAAACTGCAGATAGTACCGAACCCTACATACACTATGGTTTTTCCTATACACGCATACTTATGAAAAAATCTAATTTATAAATGAGGCACAGTAAGAGATTAGCAACAATAACAAATAATAAAATGGAACAAGTATAACACTATACTGTAATAAAAGCTACCATAGATCTTAGCAACTTCAGCAAACGATTTTTTTTCTTTCCTTATTAAGTCAAGAACTTTCACTTTTTCACTTAAGGGAAGCACTTTACAGCTTCTCTTTGGCATATCCGAATTGCCAGCGTCACTACTCTTACGCTTTGGGGACATTAGTAAAATAAAGGTTACTTGAACACAAGCACTGCAATACTGCAACAGTCCATCTGATAACTGATGGCTACTGAGTGACTAACAGGTGAGTAGCATATACAGCGTGGATACGCTGGACAAAGGGATGATTCACAATCCTGGCAGGATGGAGCAGGATGGTGCGAGATTTCATCATGCTACTCAGAACAGCACACAATTTAAAACTTATGAATTGTTTATTTCTGGAATTTTCCATTAAATATTTTCAGACCGTGGTTGACCACAGGTAACTGAAACTGTGAAAAGTGAAACCACAGATAAGGGGGGACTGCTATACTGCAACTTGTGGCTTGGAAAATACAATGACATTCACAGTAGCTCTCCTCAAGAAAGCAAGCCAGGGCAACAAGATACAGTGAAGCTAGCCTTCGCTGATCTCTCCAGATTGTGACCTTTTACAGCACTTATAGTCTCTACTTCGCATTTTGGCACTTAATCGAAATACTTTCGCGTTGTTATTTAATAGTTATATATGTAGATCTTTATCCGATTCAAGAAAGCAGAGAAGAGCAGAAACCAATGCCTTTGGTACCAAACAGCAGGAGCAGCAGGCTGCTCTCTAGAGCACAGAGGGACTCAGCAGTGCCCAGTCTCTTTTTTTCCGGTTCCAAATTTTAAATTCCCAGAAAAAAGACATGATTGGCCTGGATTGGGTTCCGTGTCCACCCCTCGATCAATCAGCTTTGGCCAAGCAGCAGGTCAGCCTTGGAGCCTCTCCTGTAAATAGGGCTTGTTCCCAGAAAAGAAGGAGGCATACGCTATTCATTCATTTGTTCGTTCATTCATTCCATCAACGGATAGTTGAGCACCTATCAAAATATATGCAAAATGTTTAAAACATGACCCTGCCCACATACCATGAAAGTCACAACATAAAAAGATAAGAAATCAGGGCCAGCCTGGTGACACAGCGGTTAAGTTTGCATGCTCCACTTCAGTGGCCTGGGGTTCGCCAGTTCGGATCCCAGGCACAGACCTACATACGGCTTATCAAGCCAAGCTGTGGCATGTGTCACACAAATAAAATAGACGAAGATGGGCACAGATATTAGCTCAGGGCCAATCATGCTCAGCACAAAAAAAAAAAAAAAATAGAGGATTGGCAGCAGATGTTAGCTCAGAGCTAATCTTCCTCAAAAAAGACAAAAAAAAAAAAAGATAAATTTCCAGATAAAAAGCATAACAATATTCACTCATTAGAGACCATCAATTCAATTAAATGGAATAGAAGATAATTCACCACACCATGTATAAGCCTCTCATGGTAAAAGTAATCAGTAGCAATGTGTACATGTTCAACAAGTGCACAACAGCACCATTAGGAAGAGACAAAAACAGAAAACTACCCAAATGTCTATCAGCAGTAGACTAGATACACAAAGTATATGTATTCACCCAATGGAATCCTTTACAGCAATGAGAATGAATGCTGTACAAATATGCACAATATTGATGACTCTCACAAACAATGTTAAGTAAAAGAAACCAGACATGAAAAAGTATATAAGGTATGATTCCATTTACATACAGTATACAAACAGGCAAAACGAATCTGCCCTTAAAGAATGGTGACTAGAGGGGAGCAAAAGGGGCTACGTGGGTGCTGGTAATGCTGTCTCCTGAGCTGAGTACTGGTCACACAGGTACGTTCAGTTTGTCAAAATTCATCAACCTGTACACTTACCGTGTATGTCCTTTTCTATATGTATATTATGCTTCCATAAAAAGGTTTTTAAAATAAGTAATTAATGGTCAAAGCTAGGAGCCTTTAATCACCCTTGAACATTGTCACTATGATTATCCTAGAGTTGCCAATTATTGCCACTCCCACCTCCACCACTACACCACCTTCTTAGAGACCGTAAGCCATCAGCAGCTTTTGGAAAGAGCTGCCATTCTTACCACATGGCCTCCAGCCCAAGCTGAGTGGACTTCCTCTCACCTGGAACCTTGGGAGCAGGACACTGTGAAGCTGAGTCAGGTGATGGAGAGTGCTTCATCTAATAAGTTGTATGGATCTGGGGGAAAGAATTTCTGGACATGTGCATAGTGATAAGCTGAAAAAGCTGGTCCGTAGAAAACAGAGCCAACCCACAGAAGGAAGCAAACAAACCTGCTGGAGATGGAAGGAGAAGACGCCTCAGAGGCTGCACACTTTCCAGCTCTGGAACGCATGTGTCCCAGCTGTCACTAGGTATCCATGAGATTGCTCATGTAGCCTTATTAATAAAAAAAGAAAAGCTTACTTACTTAAGCTGGGGTGAATAGGTTTCTGTTTGTGGCATGTATTATCTCATTTCATTCTTATAATAGCCCTACCCAGTAAGTACCGTTATGACTCTCATTTCACAGAGGAGAAAAGTGAATCCCAGAGAGGTTAAGTAACTTGCCCGAATCACACGCCTGGTAAGTGGTGGTGCTAGGCTTTGGACTGAAGCAGACTGGCTGCAAAGCCTGAAATCTTAACAACTATACTACACTGTAGTGCAAGAGAAATGCTGAAAATGGCAATGTGCATTGTGTGTTGCATTAATGGATTTAACAAAGACCTCTGATTCTGCCAAATGAGTTCAAATGTAGAATGATACAAAAGATTAAAAGATTGGCTGTCTAAAAAAGTTGATAACCACTTCTTTCTTTCAAAAGGGAACTACAATTTGAGTTGTAGATGTTAGAAAAATATAAAATGCATATAATGTGACAAATTACACTAAGCAAGATTGTGCTCTTATACCAGGAAATTGCTTACATTACAGATTTCAGCAAGATACTCTCTTGGGGGTCCCCACTGATTACCTACTTTTCCCAAAATGTTACTATCTGGGAGAAGAGCGTTTTAGTCCCATGGAAGGAGAAACTAATGATAAAAGTTACTTCAAGTCTTGGGGAGGGAGGTGCCAGTGGTCATATTCCATGATGACAGCTGCCAGACCCACAATCCACTCAGCAAGGCTTCTAGATCAGTCACAACCAAGCCATTGGTGTCCCCCAGCAACCTTCAAAAGGTATGACTCAGGAATTATCAGTAAGTTAAGTCACATGAGAACTTGCTGTATCTGTAATGCTTTGATTTTAAAGAAAGTGCTGACAGCCACTATTCAAGATCTTTTCTATATATAAATGATTGAGCAATTTTGTGGCTTATAATTAGAACAATGCATGACGATTTCTAGATTGTAGTCCCAAGGTTACTCTTCTCTTTGGTCCATCAATGCCAAAAAGACAAAAGGTCATCTTCTAAGGCTCCACGAATAGCACTCATTAGCTTGATAAATGGCTCACTCAGAAAGTCCTGACTTTGGTGTTACCTTTTAAAAGAGGCTGTTTTTAATCTAGCAAAAGGTGCGACAGTTTGGGTGGTCTGCAGATAATTTGTAGTAAGAACGCTGAGTTAACATCAGCTCCAAAACAAAGCACATACTTTTGTCAAAAAGGGATTTATTGGGGCCAACCCAGTGGCCTGGTGGTTAAGTTTGGCACCCTCCACTTCAGTGGAAGAGGTGTGGTTCCTGGGCACAGACCTACACCACTCGTCAGCAGCCCTGCTATGGTGGTAACCCATATACAAAATCGGGGAAGACTGGCACAGATGTTAGCTCAGGGCAAATCTTCCTCAGCAAAAAAACAGGATTTGTTAACTCATTATCTCATGTCATAGTACTCCCTACCTTGCCGTGTGGCTGTGAAAAATAAATTTTGTACTAGTTTCACATCAGGAAGCTTAGCCTGATTCAAACCTGTTTCTACATAAGACACCTAATCTACTTTGACCAACTAAGATTCCAAAAATTAGCTATTGTCCCTACAATATAATCTATCTGTCTCTGTCTCTAAGGTCCCTTCTTCCTTGGAGGGCCCTCTCTCCTGTAAGTTTTTATTCTCTGCCCACCACCCATGTCAGCACAGCTTTGCAGAGGCAGTCATGTTTGATGATCTTAGATATCAAAATACCGTCAAAATTTCCTAAGCTTGTTCCTGGACGTTCCAAATAATGATACAAATGTTCCCGAAGGCAAACACAGAGGCACCTAATGACATTTACCCTCAATTCTCCCAGCGCACAGCAAAAATGTGCTCAGTTAGACACAACATGCCACAACATGGCATGTCTGACGGTTTGAAGAACTTGGCATAATGAGAGCTATAGCCAGAGAAAAGAAGAAAAATTAGGTGGAACGCTGATGGCTGAGTTCCAATGTCACATTTATATGTAGCTCTATGACTCCAGAATTGTCCTTATAGCAAAAAAGTTATCCATAGATTCAAAAAATCAACTGCTCACTACTGTCACTTAAAAATGCCTCATGTAAACAAGGCATTTCAGGGAAAATGTCATAGAAGTACTTAAAGAACACCAATTAACTTCTTAGTTAACCAATTTGGCTGTAAAATCAAAACTGAAAGAGCAGTTCCAAAAGTAATTGCACTAAAAACTTTAAAAATATATATAACTTGTTAATAACATATAGAGTTTATGTATTAAAAAAAAGAAACACTAGTGTCTACCAATTAGATTTTCAAAAGGAAAATGTGTAGGTTTTAAGTCAATTCATGAAGGTTTGCAACAAGATTTTATTGACGAGAAAGTTTTTCTCTGTATTCCTAAATATTGCTCAAGAATAATTCTCAACCGAAATTGTGAAAGCATAATTCTAGTGGGACCCAGTCAATCCCAGAACAAAATAATCATTGATCCCTTCTCCAACCCAAGCTTTCAGCCTCACAAAGACTATGCCAAGGTCAAAAATGGGATCAAATGAAAATGGGACATTTCTACAAATCCATCAATTCTAGGGGCCAAAACTAAGAATCCAAAGCTTATGTCTAACAGATAGTGTTGGATATTTTATTGTCATGTAGAAAGGGACATGCATTATTATATCATGTAGGTTATGAAGAAAAGCATATCTCAAAAGTGAAATGATGGGGGCCGGCCCGGTGGTGCAGCGGTTAAGTGCACACATTCCACTTCGGCGGCCCGGGGTTTGCCAGTTCAGATCCTGGGTGCAGACATGGCACTGCTTGGCAAGCCATGCTGTGGTAGGCATCCCACATATAAAGTAGAGGAAGATGGGCACGGATGTTAGCTCAGGGCCAGTCTTCCTCAGCAAAAAGAGGAGGATTGGCGGCAGATGTTAGTTAGCTCAGGGCTAATCTTCCTCAAAAAAAATAATAAAGTGAAATGATGATTATTTAGAAAAAAGATAGTTGACATAAATGATGCAAATAATCCAAAAATATGTTAAATATATGTGGAATATATTAACTAAATATGAAAGTTCTTTAAAAGTTCAAATACTGCTATGCATTTGTATTACTTTTATGTACATTTAAGTCTGCTCAATAATGCAAATATGCAAAATAATGATGCTTAATACTTATATTTTATTTCATGTTTATTTCACTTAATAAACATCTAAATATTAGTAGGAACACAAATAACAAAAAAAAAATCCACAAAAACTGATCAATTATTTGCCAACCCTGTGGCTTCCTTCTAGCTCATGAGCATAATTTTATAAAATTGCTATCTTTATGTATCAATCATTTAAATTTCTTCTTTTTTCACTTACTTTGACTGGACTATTTTGTTTTCCACATGATTCTCATAGTCATCTCTAAAGGTACTAGGTCATTCCATGTCTGTCTCGGTGGTTCCTGAACAACTCTTTGTGGACCAAGATAGGACGAAGTTTTCATCAGTCCGCAGTTAAATGAGAAAAGCAAAGACAGGCTAGTGAGTTTTTTATAAAGGCAAATTTATTCAATTGAAATGACTGTCTTTTAAGACTATCTCCTTCCCCCTTTCTTGTGTTAAAATATGTTTTTGTGAAATGATGATGATGATAAATGGCTTTTTCTTTATTTTCCGTAGTTGACAAAATACCGAAACATCCCTATTTTGCCCCCACCACACACACCAGTTATTTTTTACTTTACTGGTCTATTAAATCCAAAATTCAGCTAACTACCAGTCTGTCTAACTACACCCCTTCATGGCATTTTAAAGTACAAGCCCAGACAGACACACACACACTCAAAAAATGTTTTTGGAAAGACTCCTATGGTAGCGAGCCTCCAAAATGTCCCCAGTGATCCCTGCCGCCAGGTATCCACACTCTTGTGCGCTCCCCCTCCCACACTGTACCAGGGTTGGTCTGTGTGACCAACAGAACCCAGCAAAGTGATGGTATGTCAATCTTGAGATTAAGTTAGACAAGGCATTTGCTTTCATCTTGGCTGCTCTCTCTTTCTTCAATCACTCTGGAAGAAGCTAGTGGCCGTCATGAGCAACAACACTATAGAGAGGCCCACTGCAGAGAGGTGAGGAACTGAGGCTTCCTGCCAACAGCCACATGAATGAGACTGGGAGCAGATCCTCCAGCCCCAGCCCTGACGTCAGACGACTGCAGCCTCCTGTAGACCCTGAGCCAGAACCACCCAGCTAAGCCACCCTGAATTCCTGAGCCACAGAACCTGGGAGATAATAAACAGTGTTTTAAATGACTGCCTTTGAGGTAATTTGTTAGGGAGCAGGAGATAACTAATGCAACTCCTGTATCCTTTTTCAGCAGCAAGGTGAACAACTCTCTAGCACAATAGTGCAATGCAGAAACTGCTCAACATGTATTTGTGCACATATTGGGAGAGAGAAAGGATCAGCAAGGACTGTGATCTCCATTACTCTGGCGTTAGTTTACTTACTCTGACTTTTTCCTTCTCTGTTGCTTTTTCTACTTTTCTCATACTGACCAGAATACTCAGTAAACTGAATAATCCATCTCTAGCAAGGACCAATTCTACAAGTTTGTAGGCTGAGTTAAATGAATCATTTTATGTAAACATGGTATTTTATGATATTTTAGAAATCTGGTAAATTTGTATTGACAGAATGCCTCACCTCAGCTGTCCAAATCTTTACTAGACCCACCCCTACCTCAACAAAGGAACATATCTCATGTTCACTGAGAAAACAGAAGCAACAGACATGAGCTCGTCTAAGTTCCCTCTTCCTACCTTTAAACCTATCTGTAAGTACTGGGGTGAAAAATTATTATTTTAGCAGCTGATGCCAGAGTTCCTCTTAGGGACAGAAAATGCCTCATTGAGGAAACTACCTTGATATGACACTTAAAGTATGGAAGAAGAAAGCTCAACTTACAATAAAACTGTGAAACAAAGAGAGAGCTAAACAAATCTACACTAAAAAAATAAATAAATAAAAAATAAAAGACCAAGAAAGAGAACAGAGGAAATGGGAGGGGAGTGAGGAGAGATGGGGCTCAAATAACAGTGTGGGAGGTTAAAGCTCGGGGAGAGAGTTCCAGTGATTCAGGAGCTGAAAGCATGTTTAAAATAGAAATATCTACTATTGGACGTTACAGAGTTTGTGTTGCTAAGAATATAAAACCTCCTAAGCCTTCAGTAATATCTGACACATGCACAAATGCCTTCTGTGAGTGATTTGGGGAAAAATGAAGGAAACAAGATGGGAGGAGGGGACAGGTCTGAATTCTACAACTGGGTCAGCCTGGAACTAAGGAATAAGAACATGGGAACTGAGTTACAGGTGAGATGAAGAATTTAGTGGAAGCAGAAACTCAAAAGCCAAAGAAACCATAAAATGAGCTCCCAGGATTAACAGAAATCTTGGAGTAGGCATTGAACTTCCTAATGGATGTAGAATGGAGACTAAAGCCAACTGTACTTAAATCTCAAAAAAGAATGCTACCTTAGCTGACATCTGAGTACGTATTCACAGATTCTTTTCTCCTCTCTTCTGGCCTTTGACAAAGAGAGGTCCAAAACTCAACACTCCATTTTTTAAAGTAACCTAATGTACCCTTCCTTTACACCTTGCTCCATCAATCATCCTCTTTGCTACATATAGTCAATATCCTCCCCGCTACAGGGATTTCCCCCCGTCTGCTTTTACAGGCTCAGGCCCCAAACTACCACCATCTTACAACATCAGCTTTGATGGTGAACTCAGAGAGGTTTTGATTTTGAATCCTTCTTCTACCATTTATTAGTGTTCTAACTTTGGGCATATTACTCAACCTCTCTACACTCTCTCAGCTACAATTTCCTCATCAGAAAATGGGGATAATATTAGCACTCACCTCATAGGAGTACTGTAAGGATTATCCTGGATAATGAGTGTAAATTGTTAGCCCAGTGCCTGGTAAACAGTAAGCCCTCATAACGTTCACTGCTATCATCATTATCATTCATTAAAATTCCTAAAAAAGTAATCTCTACTCTGTGTACAACTCCTCTACAACCACGTACTATTTAATCCCAAGAAGGCTGGCCCCTGCCAACCTCCTGACATTGCTTTCATTAAGGTACCCAGAGACTTCCTCATTCATGAATCCCAGTGAATCTTCTCAGGCCTCCTTTTGAAATTCTTCTCAGTACTTGGTAGTCCTGGTTGCTCACCTTCTTGAAATGGTCCAATCTTGGCTTCTCCTGACATTGCTCTCTCACCACACTTTCTTTTTTCTCCACCACCCTTTAGTTGGTAGTGTGCCCAGGATTCCACCCGGAGCCATCTTCTGTTCTCATTCAGCACTCACCAGGTGAATGCATTCATGACTTCGGCAGCCAAATCTCCGTCTCTAACCTAGACCTTTCTTCTGAGCTCTTGAGCCAAAACTGCCTGCTGGGTCTCTTACTCTAGGTTTTTTACAAACCCAGCCATCCAAACCACATTTATAGAGACTGTTAACAAAATCATTATTTTCACTACTTTCCCAGTTCTTTCCCTTTCCTAGTGATCATTTTCATCATTAACACCAGCTATTATCCTCCCATGTCTCCCTCGCCCACAGTGTTCAACTGGCTACCACGGCTTGACAATGCTTCCTTCCCCCAGAATCCTATGGCTCCTCTCAGTCCTGCTATATCCCTCCTGACCCCACTGTAGTTGAGAGGGGGCTTTCAAGTCACATAGGCCTGAGTTCAAATATTAACTATGTCACAAACTCACTATGTCTGTTCTTGGCCAAGTTACTTAACCTCTCTGACCTCAGGCTTTTGTGATAATTAAATGAGATACTATATGCCAAATGGCCAGCTGGTAGTAGGAACTCAGCAAACAGTCTCTTTCATCTCCTTCCTTCAGGTCTTCATCGTCACCTGGTATACCGCGAAATCCACCTACACTTGGTCTCTCTTGCCCTTTCTCAGACTTAATTTTTCTAGAAAATAAATCTGATGTTATCATCTTCTTACTTAAAAATCTTCAATATTTTCGGGGCCGGCCCCATGGACAAGTGGTTAAGTTCGTGAGCTCCACTTCGGTGGCCCAGGGTTTTGCCAGTTTGGATCCTGGGCACGGACATGGCACCACTCATCGGGCCACGCTGAGGCAGCGTCCCACAACTAGAAGGACCCACAACTAAAAATACACAACTATGTACCAGGAGGCTTTGGGAGAAAAAGGAAAAATAAAATCTTTAAAAAAAAAAAAAAACTTCAATATTTTCTTTTTTCCTATGGAACAAAGTCCAAATTCTTTAACATGATAAGTTCCAACTGCCTTTCTGGTCCCTTCTCCCTCAGCTCAGTTAATCTAAAAAACTGGCCATTCAGCAGCTACGTCATGTACACACTGGCTGACATCTCTGTACCTACTGATCCCTCTGTTTGTAATTCCCTTCTCATGCCCAAGTTCTTTTGTCCAAGCTTCTTCATCCCTCTCAAGACCTTCTTTAAAAGCTGTCACTTATAGCACAACAGAAGCTCAGGCAACGAAAGCACAAATAAGATCAAAAGGTTCTGCATAGCAAAGGAAACAATAAAATGAAAAGGCAACCTAAGGATTAAAAGAAAATATTTGCAAATCATCTATCTGATAAGGGGTTGATATCCAAAATATATTTAAAAAACTCCTGCAACTCAGTAGCAAAACAAACAAAAAGAATAGCCCAATTAAAAAATGGGAAAGGCCAGCCCCAGTGGCCTAGTGGTTAAGTGGAGTGGTTAATGCTCCACTTCAGCAGCCCAGGTTCAGTTCCCAGGTGCAGACTTAAACCACTCGTCAGTGGCCAAGCTGTGGCAGCAGCTCACATTCAAAATAGAGGAAGATTAGCCACAGATGTTAGCTCAGGGTGAATCTTCCTCAGCAAAAAAAAAAAGAGAGAGAGAAAAGACTTGAATAGACATTTTTCCAAAGTTGACATACAAATTGTCAACATGTACATGAAAAGATACTCACCATCATGAATCACCAGGAAATACAAATCAAAACCACGAAGAAATGTCACCTCACACCTGTTAGGATGGCTATTGTCAAAAAGACAAGAGGGGCCAGCCCGTGGCCAAGTGGTTAAGTTTGCGCGCTCCACTTTGGCAGCCTAGGGTTTCCCCGGTTTGGATCCTGGGCGTGGACATGGCACTGCTCATCAGGCCATGTTGAGGCAGCATCCCACACGCTACAACTAGAATGACCCACAACTAAAAATATACAACTAAGTACTGGGGGGATTTGGGGAGAAAAAGCAGAAGAAAAAAAAAGATTGGCAACAGTTGTTAGCTCAGGTGCTAATCTTTAAAAGAAAAAAAAGACAAAAAGACGAGATAAGTGTTGCCAAGGATGTGGAGAAAAGGGAACCCTTATGCAATGTTGGTGGGAATGTAAATCGGTTCAGCCCTTATGGAAAA